CTACACAACAAGCAGCAATGCCAGAGAAGCGATACCTTCTTTTGGGTTGTTGGCCAGGGTGGCCAAACAGATTCCCAGATAGTAACCCAGCATAGAACCGGGAAAATGAACAGCAGACCCCAATCTTATCTAAAGGAATATTGACAACTGATTGCTGCTAGATGAGGAACAGCTGACCCTCCTAAAACAAAGACCTCTAGATAGGCTGACTAAATTCACCAGAAGGGCAAGTAGTAAGGAAGGGCTGGGGTGCCAACAACACAGCAGACATTAGCAGGGATATCAGAGTATAAGGGCTCTAGCTGGGTGAGGGAGGCTATGGGAGGGTGCTATCTGGGAAGTGGGTGTATAGTCGAATGAGATGGTTTGGGATGTTCTGTGTGATACACACACACACACACACACACACACACACACATCAAATTTTTTTTAAATGTATCATATTTGAGGAGGAAGCATAGAAATTTACGTCATGCAAATTAGTAGAGGTAATAAACCATACCACTGAAATGTGCCCGATGACTTTATAGACATACACAGGTGCCAAGGATCCAAGTGCAACTGATTATGACTAATAATAATCAGATACAGATTAGAGATGCATGTGCCAACATCTCAGCGTTAGTAGCAAAAACCATGAGTCTTTCTGAAAGGAACAATATACTCTAAAATGAAATAGAGATCTTTTTTAAAGGTTAAAAAATGGAGATCTTTTTTGAGGCTTAAAAACTGATTCAATTTTATGTCTTACAGGGCTTATACTGAGTTCAACATTGTATAACTGTATTAATTCAACTGTGAACTTAGAAACTTGCACCCACTTGTGAAAGAGATGTACTCTTGCTCTGGAATGTGTTACTGAATATGTTAAAGCTGTAGTGAAAAGCTTCTAAACATGTCATTATTAAAATTTTTTTTAAATATAATGATTAAATAAATAATTCTCCAAAGCATAGCCAAGCCTTTTTATTACTCTTCTACTTTGCTAATTAATACTAGCAAAAGGATGGAAAGATTTCAGTGGGTGTCTGATGGCAAACACTAAAGTCCAAAGAATCCTGCTACAGTCATCCATTGGAATAGCACGCAGTGGAAAGTGTTTAAGTGTATTGTCCCTGGAAAGTATTCTCAGTCTGCATGTATGTGTTTGAAATACACACACACACACACACACACACACATATGTATATGAGGTGAAAATAGGCAAATAAAGATATAATACTAACAGAAAAACCTGGAAAGAGATATGTTAATATGTTTGATTAATTTTGGATATTAGAATTATGATTTTTTAAATTAATTTTGGATGTTAGGATTATGATTTTCTTTTACTTTTTCTCAATGACTAAACTTAATGCACATGCATTATTTTGTAAAAGTGAAAAAGATAATTTTTAAAAAAATCATTCAGTCAACTCTTTTTTTTTTTTTTTTTTTTTTTTTTTTAAACTCCCTGTAGCCCCAGCTGTCCTGGAACTCACTATGTAGTCCAGGCTGGACTTGAACTCGCAGGGATCCACCTGCTTCTGCCTCCCAAGTGCTGGGACTACAGGTATGCACCACCACGCCTGGCTATCAGTCAACTCTTTTGTGATCCTGCCTCCATGAAGTTTTTGCTCACATTCTGGTCTTTGAAGGAAATCCTTGAAACCCTGGCCTTGGAAGCCTGGAGACTGTGTGAAGTTTTCAGCAACGCCATCTGCTTTGTCTGTTCCCTATGACCTTGGCATTGCTCCTTGGGAGCCAGAAGTCATTGTTAAGTCTTTCTTTAATTGTGTATAATGTAGGTGTCCAGTAAGCGCTTGCTGTGTTAGCCATATTCTAAGTGTCCTCAGGAGTGTAATTGTCACTTGTAAAGAAGTAGGTGTGAGGAGACAGGGGCTTTTTCCCTAAAGTGAGAAAGATATATGAGTTTCAGGACATTTAGAAGCAGCAGGCACATATGAGCAATACCCCAAGTTCTAACATCTGGTACTCATGGGGCAGAATTATCCTGAGGAATCTTGGCAGGTAACATTGCTAACTCTGGGTTGGCATGGACAGATTTTCCTCTAGCCAGTCAAATGTGTTCTTTGGAAGACTGAAATTAGCCCATGAAATATGACTGTTGTTGAGAGCAAGACGCAATGGAATTGACTTCATGGAGGAAAATCTTACAATAAGAATAGTTACAAATACAGGGTCAGCCCCCTCTAGGAAAGCATAAGTACACATTTGTGTGGTGCCCTCCTGGCTTTCACCGTGTAGAACACATTTCACTCAACAGGAGCCTGGAATTATGTGATTTGTGAAGCTACCTTTCCCCTGAGCAGCGTAAGTGATGATTTTTGTGGTTAGTGATGATGATCAATTAGCTGAGAGGTGAGCCCTTTCAGGTTCCTGCTCCTCCTGCCTGGCATTGGTCCAAGTCCAGGTCTGTGGAGAAATTCATGCAGAGACACACCTTTTCAGCTCCCAGAACTTTCACCTGAGCCGCTGCCAGGCTGATTTGTCAGCATTTTCTTCTTTTCTAGCTTAAGAAGGAGGGAGGGAGGGAGGGAGGAAAAGAAAGAATGAGACCAACCAACCAACCATGGTAGAGTCTGATACAAAGCTTGGAAACTAGAGATTGTGCCCAAGTTTTTCTGATATGGATCCCTGTGGAACTCTGTAGGATGTGTCTTAGATAACTTTTCACTTGGCAATCAGATTTTGACATTCACAATGTCCAATTGTTTTTAAAGTAGTAAGATAAATATAAGATGGAAAAACCCAGCATGTTAGATTTTGATAAGATGAGGGGAATCACCTTCTCCTAACATCCAAAGGGAACTCAAGGGCTTAAAGAAAGGAGAAGGATCCAGGAAATTCCTGAAACCTTAAGAAATTATGGAAATTAATTAGCTGTCTGGTACTGTCGTTCGGACGGCTATATCATACCACCTCCCTGCAAGGTTTAGAGATCATCCTGGAAATGGGGCAGGGAGATAAGAAGAACCAGAGATAGTGGAAGTCTACAGCACACAGTATTTGCCAGACATGATAAGGCCATTGTGCACATGAACACACAGCCACTGTGACTGCATGTGCAAGATCAAGCCAGTCAAAATCCCAGCATGGATCAGGGAGAGGAATCACAGAGTCCCACTGTAGCTGAGCAGCTGTTGGCAACTGAATGCTTCTGGGAAGGGAGTCGGTTTTCTTCAGGGATATGGCCCCTGAGAGGCAACCCCACCTCAGCAGATTGTCCTGTACCCCTGCACATCCTTGCAGCACTGAGTGGACTAAGTGGACTTAATGGGTTTTTACAAAAAACATATGAATTTGGGCAGGAAAAGGTGAGAGATAGAGGAATAATTGGAAGGCAGTGAATGGGAGGAATCAAAATACATTATATACATGCATGAAATTCTCAAACAATAAATATTATTTAAAAAATAAATGTCTTGTGATGAGATGACAAACTTCACAGAACAATATTTTATAGGCTGTCTACAGTGGTGCCTACAAACCATATAATTCATTGTCATATCAGACACTACATACTATACCAAGACCAAGGCAGAGTTCCTGGCATTGATATATTTATAGTCTAGTGACATCAGACACACAATCTAATGCTAAACTCTTTATTAATGGCAGTAAGTGCTTTGATGATGCTATCACATGCTCTTGGAGTACACTGAGAAGCACCCAGCCCAGGGAGTTCAGGGAAATATTTGAGGAGGTGTTTGTATTAACACTTGAAAGATGGGTATGGACAAGGAGGTATGAGGAACTTCTAGGGAAGGTTTGGAAAAGAACAGTTTTGTAGACAAAGGTCTAGGGGCAAGAGACCGGTCTGTTCTTTTGTTTCATGAAAGCTTGGGTGTTGTAGAAAGAGGCAAAATTATAAAGTGCCTTGTAAAGCAGTTTCAGCATTTGGAATTAGTCCTAATGGCAGTAGGAAAGATGGAATGTGAAGGAAAGCTGGCAAAGGAGAGTGTGCAGGGAGAGAACTACTGAAGACGGCCTAAGATATGCAAGCTAGAAAGCTTACATTAAACAACTCAGGAGAGAGCCAGCTAGGCTGCAATGGATATTTAAGGCTCTGCTTATGTTTCAGTGTGCCTGACATTTCTGTCCCTTAAGATAATTCACAGCTTAGATCTGTATCAGATAGGGCCATGGAGCTTGTCAAAACCATACCCAACCAGGCCCTCAGTAAGTATCTCCTAAGATAAACCAACACTGTTTAGATGTGGTCTTTATAAGCACACAGAGAATCTGATTATGCACACATTCATCAGAGTTTAAGCTGCAGAGACAGGTGGGTAGAGCTGAAAGGAAGGGAATACCATCTTCCACTTAGTGCCTTCTTATCCAATTCACACCCACTGGCATACTCCAAGAAGAGCTATCTAATTGCTAGCATGTGGAACTCAAACAGGAACTTTAAATCTGAGTACTATCACGTTTCCCCTGTCTTTTTTCCATGGGAATAGAGTGTCCAGGATCAGGATATACCTACAATTTCCTCTTTGATTCATAAAACCAAACAAATGTAGCCTATGCCACAGCCATGACTAACCTCAATGCCAGTAAAACTAAAAACTACTATGGAAGACATAAGAGCACCCCAGTGTAGCGAGTTTAGGGTCACAGGGAAGCATTATCATCATTTCTATTTAAACACACAGCTGACCTTTTGTTTTTAATCCCCCTGACTGATGCTTTGGAATTTCAACTGAAAGTGACAGGTGCAAAGTGGAATATACTTTTGTTTGCCTTAATTTTTTTTAGGAAGCTGGAACGGAAAAAAGTGTTTTCCCACTGCCCGAACCACAAGATTTCTTTCTGGCCTCCCAAGTCAAGTTTGAAGACCTCATAAAAGACTTGAGAAAACTGAAGAGACAGCTAGAAGGTAACAGTGACGGTTCTGTTGTTAAGACAATTATAGAGGTGACTTTTCAGAACAGTTTCATTTGATGTTTGACTCCCAGAGTGGAGTTGGTATGGTGTTCCCTTGAACTTCCATCTCCGGAAAGTTCAGGGTTCAGTGTTTTCAGGCACTGAATTTCTGTATTAGCATCTTTGTGTGTGTGCACGCGCGCATGTGCACACATGTACACCTGTTTGGGGAGGATATACATGCACATACGCATGCATTCATGTGAAATCTTGACTGTCATTCCTCAGGTACAATCTACTTTTTTGTTGACTTTTTGTTTTTGACACAAGGTCTCTCATTTGTCTGAAACTTACCAAGTAGGCTAAGCTGGCTGACCAGGCCAGCCCCGGGGATCTGTCTTAGCCTCCCCAGCACCGGGATCACAAGTACATGCCACATATGACTTTCAAAAAAGAAAGTGGGTTCTGGGGTTCAAACTCTGTATCCCCAAGGCAGGCCCTTTACGGACTGAGTTATCTCCCCAACCCCATATCTGTGTTTTTCTAATATTTAATAGTTAAAACTTTAATAAAAGCAGCCTTTTATTGGAAGCATGCATTTTCTTTTATTCTTTTGATTTTTTTTTTTGAGACAGTGTCTTCCTGTAGCCTCAGTTTGCCTAGAACTCACTATATAGACCAGGCTGGACTTGATCTCACAGAGATCCACCTGCCTCTGCTTCCCAGGTGCTGGGATTAAAGGTATGCACCACCAAGCCTGGCTTTTATTATTCTCATAACAACCTTAATAAACAAGAACTGTATTAGCTTCATTTTAGAGATGAGAAAAATTGAGACTAATTTTCTTCAGTCACAGGCAGATACAATTAGAGCTCATGTACTTTCTAAGCTTATTTTTTACACACACGTACACTCAAACACACACACACACAAAGATACTTCTCACATGCATGCACACATCACAATGCTGTGTTTGGTTTCTATACAACTCTAATGATGATAAGACCCACAGTAAATATTCTATTTTAATTAAATTTTTATTTTTAATTATTGAATCCAGAATGCAGAAAGCCCCCCCCCCTTGGCTTTTTAGAAGATAGAAGTATGTGTCCCTCAGGCAGGAACTTTCCTTTAGCATTTCCACAGTCGTGTGTTTTCACTGTGGAGATGTCTTCTTGTCCAGGAATATAAATACTAGCCTGGAGCTTGTATAACTCCAATGGAAGAGCTCTATGAAGGATTTAGGGAGTGTGTTAATGTGGAAATGGAGCGCTGAGTGCCAGAAGGAGAACTTGAGGAAATGAAGAGTTTCAACCAGGAATAGTTTTACACTAAGACATAAAATAAACATTTTAAAAATGTTTATTGTGAAAGAGTGCTCAGAAACCTCGGTCTTGGGCTTGAAACCAGCCTGGAGATGGAAGCAAAGTGGGAAAGATCCACTCCCAGTGGCAGAGAGCACAATTTACTTTTCCTATGGATATAAAATTTGCTTTAGTAAGGATACTGGTTACAAGTGAATATTTTTACCTTGTAAATTACTTTTAAAGGAATGTGGGGGTTCCACACACACACACACACACACACACACACACACACACACACACACAC